GAGAGAGAGAGAGAGAGAGAGAGAAAGAGAAAGAGAGGGGGATGGCGCGGATACGGAGGTACCAAATGAAACGGCAGGGATGGTAATTGTGCGGTGAAAAAATAATCAGCTGGCGCAGCACGTAAAGCGTAACCGTAAGTGCGGCTGTGTGCTCATTGTTGTCCCGCTACTACGAGACCCCACGAGGGTGACAAGCTCACAAAAGGGGCTGTTGGATCCATAGAAACGTGATGGGAGGTAGCTCGTGCGGGAGGGTGCCACCGTTGCGATAAAATTCTATAGTGCTCCGGGAAAATATGAATGACTCGTCGACTGGGAAACGAGAGGACAAAAGATTCCTCGTTCGCGTTATTATTGTAAGTTAATCCCTTTCTTCAATCAATACTTTTAAAATTTTACATCTTTATGTCAATGTAAGTTTTGATATACGTCAACGTAGAAAATGATTCGCATTATTCGTAGACATATGCAGGAAATTTTCTAATTAAAAAAAAGTCAGGTCTAATTAAAAAGAGTCCAATTAATGAAGCACGTCGCAATGACGCCTCAGTTTTACAAAATGAGTTCTTATAGTCGAAAATATTTCCATTAAAGAGAAATACCAATTTTTACGCATTCTGTTCCCACGGTAACATACCGTAATTCTAGGCGGCATGCAGAAAAATTGCAAGGTACTTCAACATAATTCAGTAGTTTTCGTAAAATTACCGCCACGTAATTGAGAATTTGGTCTGCTCCGAGACGACGCCGAGGATAGTTGCGAGCAAGAGGGAAGTGACTTCAGAAGAAGAGACCCCTTTGTTGTTAGCACTTTACGTGCAAAACGGAAGAAAAAAAGAAGAAGAAAGGAAGAGAGAGGAAAGGGAGTCTGGAGTAAAGGAGGGTCTCTTTTCGCACATCCCTCATGAGAAACAATAATGTCGCGCGCGCTACCACTCCTCCCCTGGATGTCTACCCTCTTCTCGTCTTTGTTCGTCTGGCTTTTTTTCGAGTACTCGTCCTCCTATCCACGGCCACCTACACACTACTTTCCTTCAGCTACTGATCATGAAAAGAATTGCACACGAATATAGCGCGAAGAACCGCGCGTCTCGCTGGCAGGCTGCAGAAGAAACGAAAGAGACGAAAGTTTTGTTGCTTGTTTCGCATTCCCTTCCGTTCTTTCGCGCGGAACGGCAAAGTGATGAAACTCCAAACAGTATGGTGCAGTACAGAGAGTACGGTTCTGCTGGCTTTTCAAAATTCCCAAAGAATTCGCGATAAGGGAAATGCTTTAAATAGAAAAGTAAATGAAAGAATACCGTTTGTTCGTACCGTTGGCATAGCCGTTGCCTTTAATTTGATGTCGAAGCTCGAAGAAAGCGAAAGAGGAGCAAAATCGTTGGTAAAACTTACCGGAATGTAGCCGTCGGGTTGAGGTCTGTCGTTGTCCCTGAAGAAAATTGCTTAATTACAATCAAGCATCCGTGTGTTTCGGAATTCACGTTGGATTGTTAGACATGAAACGTACCGATGTCGTCGTTGTATCACTGGTGTCTGCGGAGTGCTGTCGTGGATGATCACTTGAGTGGCATCGATCTCTTCACATTCCGAACTGTCCTCTGCCGAATCTATATAAACGATGACAGATCTAACTAACAGAAATAAATACTAATTCATATAATACAAAAACGTTATTAATAATTTACGTGAATTTACTCGATACGTATATAAATACGTATGAACATATTCAAACATTTATAGAAACCTTCATACTAGAAATCTTTACAGTTTCATTAGCACTGTAGTGAATCTTGACTATCATGATTGTGCTTCTCAGTATTTGAAACTAATCCAAAACTGTGATTAGAACTTTCAAGATTCTGGTAGGAACTACTTAGCAAAAAATTATCATTAAAAATTTAAGCATATATAACTGCGATTAAATAAATGTAGAAAACAATTCAGTTCTCAAAAGTTTTATCTACTCTTCATAAAACATCCTTAATTTATTTCTGTCTTTAATTCCTATCTTTTCTATCTTAATTAATTTTTATCTCCTTCAACAGCATCCCTAACAATTACGAACGATAGTTGGACGGTGATGGTTGACTGCCCGCTAACCCAAATTTCTTTTCATCAGGGGGATTACAATCGCTAAAATCTGTTCGTACAAACTACTGCCTAATCCTACCGGCTCCCCTTTTAATGGTATACGTGTCTACGTGCACGCGCTTATCCACGATTCACCATCCGTCGAGCTTACCGCAATTCCCAAAAGGATGAATGCTATTGATTCTCTTCAAAGGGATAGTGGTCCTCTCTCGTTAACAACCCTCAGTCTCCGATTGCTTTACACGCGATACTGGCCGTATTCGATACACAATCGGTAATTCAAATAACAGTCGCCCGTATATACCGGCAGCAATCGATCCTAAATCGCGTTACGTTCATTTTCGACTTACCTTCGCCGATGCGTTCGCGTTTACGGATGCGAGACAAGACAGGAGTTGGACACAAGGTGGTCGTGTCGCCCAGCAGGTCGTCGATGTTGGTATGTTCGCCGATGAACAACGGTAATGTGGAGGGACGTTTCCTTGGTGACGATCTTCGAAGTGTTGGTTGTACATTATCGTAGGGCGAGTCGCGTCCTCCATAATTATCAGGCGGATCTGGAGGATTTTCCACCTGCCAAGTACATAGACTCACTTAAAGAGACGGAATAAAATAATACTTGATTCATACTACTGTTACTGGGACATTTTTGAGCTATTTTGGATGATCATTTTATTTTATTTCGATTGAAAGTTTAATTAACAGTTGTGGTTCAAAGTTACTTTTTTAATGTTGCGTGTTATAGGTGCTTATAATAGCGAGCGTGTTAGCTACGATTAAAGGCATTGCAAGATATTTTGTCAAAGGTAGCATCACGTAACCGCGATTTTCACACCTTCACCGTTTTATCCCTCAGGGAATCCGCTCGATTTCTTAATCAAGGGACTAATTACGTTAAAGACTTTATTCTCTCATCGTTGTCAAGCGCACAACGTTAAAGATTTACGATGTGGCGTATTATCGGGGTGTGAAGTAGCTACAGTCTCGTCAGTTAGGGATCGTTAAATGAATAATGCACGATATATGATCAGTTTACCCCTTCGGGACTGGCGCGATCCCCGAGCGGCTCGTCGGGCGGAGGTGGCGGAAACTCGATAGGGAATCTAGAAAGGCTTCTCTTCGCGTATATCTCAGGTTCAGGGTTAACGCCGATATCGATCGTCTCGAACGATTCGGACGAGTCGCTGGTGCTGTTCGATGTTTCCACGGGAATCTTAACGACACCATCAGGAACGTTCGACGAGCTGTCCATCCACCACGGCTTCTCACCAGACTCGATATGCCTGACATTGCTCGTACATCTGCTGTACGATTGACCGTCGTCCACCTCGTCGTTGTAACTGTTGCTATTCTGCGTGGGAGTTGCGGCGACAGGGAAGACTTCGACTCCTGCGGGTACGTTTTCAGGATTGTCGTTCATCCACCATGGCTGTTCGCCAGACTGCTGATGCCTGAGTCGATTCCTTCGTTCGTTGGAACGAGTGCTCGAACGGCTGGATTCTCGTTTCGAAACGGCGGACGCCATGGACGATTGTCTCTTCGATTCGTCCGACGGAGCATTATCGTTTCCATCCAACCACCATGCCCTCTCCCCCGATTCCTGCCTCCACACGGCCGATCGCGGCGATTTTTTAGCTTCCTCGGAAATTACGCTGTCGTTTCCGTCTAACCAGCGAGCCCTGTCGCCGGAGTCGTGCCTCGAAACAGCCGAGGAAGATTGTCTCTTCGTTTCTTCAGACACAGTGCTATCGTTGGAATCTAGCCACCAAGCCTTCTCCCCCGATTCTTGTCTCGAGATCGTCGCCGACTGTTTCCTCGCGTCCTCCGAGGCCCCGCTGTCGTTCGAGTCTAACCACCAGGCTCGTTCCTCCGATTCTTGTCTCCACACTTTGTATTTAAATTTGCCTGAGAACACGCAATTAGGGGAGATGGTTTATCTAAACGAATCGCACTAATTTATGTTTCTGTCTTCGAAGTTGGAAAGGAGGGACTGTACGTGCGAAAAAATGATTTAGAAAGGATAATTAGGGATAAATAAATCACGTTGGTAATTTTCGACTGCGAAATATGTATGATGTAGATGAGAAACGTAACAAGTTGTATTTTCTGTCTTTTGTAAGAGAGCAATTTTTATATTTATCACATTGTCAATCAACTGCATCTGATTTTGATAATAAACGTGCGTTTTGTCATCATTTTAAACATTTAAGGAATATTAATTACACAGACTAACAGAACGAAGAAACTAGTTGTAGATTTATTATTTAGTTTGAGCTCGTGCCTTCTGATTACTAAACTACTTTTTTTTCAACTAT